GAGCAGAATTCTATAAAAGAGATATGGACTATATCTAGATCTAGCCAAGTTGCAAAGAGATTCAAAAGAAATATATATGTTATGAGGAAAGGACAAAGAATCTAACCTGTGGATTAGGGTGAAGGGGCCAATTGTGCAACTTCCAAATCCAGAACAACTCAGGTTGAGCTTGGCCTTTGGGCGTGGGTTGGGTCCTGTCAGCTAGTTTGAATCCCTCCGGGGTTTCTTGCCAGCCTTCCCATGCTGACTTCGGCTGCCTCCCACGGTTGTTTTTCACCCACAAGTGCTCTGGGTCCCAAGTCAAACACAGCCTCTAGCTGAGCAGCCTCCGGCCTGGCACTGTCTCTCTCCAGGAAGGGTGGGCACCTGGACTGGAGTCACTCGCCAGCTGTTTCAGCTCACGGCACACCAGTCTGCTTCCCCACGGCTGGCTTTCTCCCTGAAGCTCTCTAGAGTCCCAGCTTTCACTTTCTCTCTGTAGGTTCAGCAGTCTTTTCTTGCTGGCTGGGAGCTGGGGCAGATGTGCAGGTGGTCCCTTCCCTTTTCCACACTGTGTCCTCACTTCAGTTTCCCTGCCAGTTTTAATTTTCCTGTCAGGTCCTTCCTTGTTCCTGTGAATCTACTTTCCTTGTTTTGTTTGTTTTCCTTTTTTCTTCCATAGGTTATTTTCCAGTGTCTGGCTTCTGAATCTTGGAGAAGCTGGGTTGTTGCTGCTTACTACCCAGCCATTTTCATGCAGTCCCCCACCCCCAATGTTTTTATACATTTTTAACTCTTTCAAATTGTTTATGCATCAATTTTGGCAATTATTGTTTGCTTGAGGTAGTATTCTTTCCTTCCAGGTTTAGTTTATTAATAAAAGCTTAGTTTTTTTTTTGACATCAGTTATTTTTATTTTACAATAAAAGAAATAAAAACAATGGTACAAAATCTCAAAACAAGATTTTAGGAGAGTAACAATGGTTAGTACATTGTGTATTGTTACTGCCAAAGTAGTTTCTCATATTACAAGATATAGGCAAGAAATAATAAGCAAATAACATAGATTCAAACCTCTTTTTT